AACAGACTCGAACGTGACTCACCGCGAGGTCCGTGCTTCAAATGCTGTATGGCAATGAGTTTTTAAAAAACAAAAGCTTGGGCACGCGGCATGCCAACCACTGATATTGCGGTGGCGGTGGCACTGATATTGCGGTGGATATTCGGACGACCAGATTTTTTTAGACTGCAGCCGCATTTTTGTGCGTCAGCGCCGGAAGTGCGGTGGTACCAGCGTTGCTGATTAGAAGCGCTGCGCGACCGACTGAAGCGATGATTCGGAGAGTGGCTGTCGGACAGAGTATCGTTAAGCTCGAAGAGCAGAGACCATCTCCGTTAGCTCGTTCATATGACACTCCATGCTCGTGCTAACTTCAGAAGTCATTGGCGCTGCCTGAGTCACATGACTTACTTGACTCACCTCTGAGGGTATACTTGCAAAGCACCAAGAGTTCTAGCGTTCAACTTGGCCAGGTCGCGCAGTGTAGCGCTGTCAGTTGATGCCAACATCATGCGAACATTACTTGGAAGGCGTTGCAGGGACAGCTGATGGAATAATGCTCCGTCAATTGTGGCATTGGCGAGAAGCTGTCTTATTCGATGGAGGAGCTGTGACGGACTATTATTTCCAAGTTTTTTCTCAGTAAAGAGTTGTTAGAATCCTTGCTGTTCTCACAGCCCTGTACGACGGATGAGTTGGTTCCGAAGGACAGAGGAGCTGGAGGAGGTGCGATGATGATATCACAAATCTCTGCTGCGTCGTTGGAGGATAATTTGTTCACTACGTGAGGGAACTTGATTGACGATTCGTCATATCGCGAATGGGGACTTCACTTGGGCTAACCACAAGTTGGAATAATTTGGCCAGATCGGTAGAAGTCGAACAGCAAGAGCTGCGACCTGCGATGAAGTACTGAAGGCAGGGTCGTTGTTTGCCATCCTAGCGTTGCTTGTTGCGGCGTTCGAAGTCCTGGTCACCACTTCGTAGCATGCTGTAGGTCAGAAGATATACACAAATTATTTATTTACAATAATTACATTAGCTCTGAATGAATGCTAGCCTTCGCTAGAATTCCAAAAGAAGAAAATCTCGTGCGCCGGTTCAACTTCCTTTTCGTCTTGTTATAGACCCTTTCCGAAATTCAGTGCCATCTGGTGGCTGAAATGGCAATTTAACTTTTGCCATACGAATGGCGGCAATGAACCCGTAGCCTGCAGTATTTTATCGGGCACCGTCACTTTTGCATGTCAACGGCCGACGAGGATAAACTTTTCGCTATACAGGTTTTTCTGGATCATCTCTTCCAGTGTCGATTCCCACAACGATGCAACCAGTCAGAACGAAGCGCCAACCCAGACAGACACCTTGATAAAGTCCCAACTAACAGGTTCACTGGGCTCGAATTAGGGAAATGAACACTTACGCAGCGCTCGCATTCAATTCCGGTTTCGCAACGTGCTAACATCTAGAATATGTAGGCCTCGAATCCTCAGCTTAGGAGTATCTTCAACATGTTCCTTCATCAGTAAATCGAAAGCCGCCATTGGTATGGCACATATGCCATTTTTCAGATGATGATGGTAGTGATCAAAGTGACCAGACTGAATTTCGGAAAGGGTCTATTGTTTGGCTGTGGTTGCTACTGAAGTGAAAGTAGCGCAATTTCTTTCCCTGCCTGCTAGTCGAACACAAACAAATACTAACATACAGACTTGGGCGTACCAACCAGGGGGCCAAGGGGCGATTGCCCCCCCCCCCCCCCCCCCCAGTTTTCAGAGTGGGGAGCCAAGCCATGTGTTTTGCCCCCGTCCCCCTGAAACAGCCGCCACTGGGCAGGGCAAACACTGGCCTGCGGCGACCAAGGGATACCAAGAGAACCGCCCCCCGGCCCTTGGGAGGGGGAGAGGGGGAGGTCTGGTTTGCCCCCCCCCCCCCCCCCCCCCCCCCGGCTCGAAAACAACTTGGTACGCCATTGCATACAGACGACCACAACCTCGCCAGGCAATTCAAAAATCGGTCTCTATTGTTATGCCAATCGCCATTTCGGCCCCTTCCAACCTTCAAAGCTTCGAGAGGGTCGCTTTGATCCAGCACGTAGCACCAAGATCCCCATAGAGCATCATTGTACTCAAGGAGTTCCTCGCCTACATAAGCGTCTTTGACACTGTGTATGCAATGAACTTATCAACCATTCCCATCTACATGGATCTCTTACAATTATATTGTTCTTCTTGCGTATTTCAAAACAGGAAGTATATTGTTTAATGCCCCCAAGCACCGACACTGAAAGTGGTGGCGCTACGAAGACGTACGTTTGTTTCGCCGGTGTGTAGATAGAAAACTCTTGGTGTACAAGAAGCTACACAGGAAGGGGGGACGGACAACGAAGTGTCCGTCCCCCCTTTCTGTGTATCTTCCTCATGTTTAATTATACTGTTACTAACACGCTCGTTTTGTACTTAATTACAAGAAGCGTCTCCATAAAGCTACCGTCACCAGTGAATTTAGATCGGCTCACTGAGAATGAAGGGGACAAGGAGAAATCGCTTATTTCATGAACCCAAATGGCGACCATAGGGGGAGCTTGACGCTACTTTCCCCTAGAGTTCCTGTATAGGCTCCCTACCCACTCATTCACACTGGAAGCGGATCCGCGTTCGAAAAGCGGTTGCGAACGCGGTTCTATAAAGATCCAGTACAATTGCACGCGCACTCGATGACATCAAGTGTACGTGACACTGTACTGAATCTTTATACAACCGCGTTCGCAACTGCTTTGCGAACGCGGATCCGCTTTCAGTGCGAATGAGCGGTACGGGAGCCAGATTTGCGCGTTCATCTCTGTAGCGCCGTCTTTCCTGCATGGCATGTTGATCCCGCTCGTCACGTGATTAAATTCGGCAAATGGCGGCGCCGCACGTTCGAGGCGCGCGGCGCGCTCAAAAGCAGGGGAATGTACCCCAGCGCGCGTGCAACGTCTACTTTTCTGCAGGTCCTTGTCTCGAGCGGCCCTTGGAAGCAAATGACGGCGCAGCGCTGAAATGAGCTGGCCTTGGAAGCGAATAGGGAGTATTCAATGGCGGCCATAGCTGTGTGCGCGAATGCTGAGCGCGTGCTGATGACGAGCTTCCGCAGTTCTTTTGCAACGTGCACTCCGCACCATCAAGAGTGCCGGTCTTAGCAGCCTATTGATATGAGCTCGTTCTGAGCATGCGCTCTAAACAGCACCCACAAATATGGCGCCCAGTGAATACTCCCTATAGGTAGCGGAGCACCCGCTCTTGGAAAGTATCTTGCTTGTTTCCACAACAATGGTAGGCAGTACTTTTCTTATCAATGGACTTTATACGCAAGTAGGCTGCCTACAAATCTGTCTGTCTCAGGGGGAAGACATCCTCTGTCGCACCATGTTGCACTCAGTGGGCCAGCGCGTGACGCGCTGGCACGCCAATGTGCGAATGGCGAGGTAAAATGGCGTTTCGGCATTAGCCAGGGCTACGCGCTCGAGATGAGTTCCACCGGTGTGCGCACTTCAACATTCATAAAAAATACGATTGCGCCGATAAATGGCCGAGATGTCACCACTCATGCAGAAGCGTGTGTTTGTGTGAAGGCACTCTGCATACCCGCAAGTACAATAACTGTACTTGCAGCGCGTGCGGAGCACTGTTACTTTATATGCAAGACGCCGGCACAATTAGCAGGCACGAAAACGCGACCGTGAAAGCGGCGCTTTAGCGTCCGAATTTTATGCACGGGCCACGGTCGAGTACAAGCAATACAACCTAGAAGGCAAGGCCTGCGAATGACATCGTCGTTTGTAGGCCCCCGACCTGCACGCCCCAAGCGGCACATACGCTGAGGAGCGACGATGGGCGCCGCAAAGCTGCAGTCGCGTCCCTCTTGGCATCACCACGTGCTAGCGTCGCGCTCGTTGTGAGGCACTGCGAGCGCAAGTTCGCCTGCTTCATGCGCAGGGGTTCTGTTGACGTAAGAACGTGGAGCTCTGATTGGTTCTAATTGAGAAGGATAGTGGGTAGACATTAAAACAAGCTGCCTTGAGGTCTGTTCACTATTCTTTGATCAGAGCCAATCAGAGCTTGGCGTTCTGACGCAAACACAACCCCTGCAAAAGGAGCAGACGAACTTGCGCTCGGTATAGACCGACACGCTGTTTACAAACAAGCCTGCGCTTGTCCACACCAGGTGTGGGCACTGCGCATGCGCAGAAACCGATTTCGCGTGAAATGAAGCATCTGCGCATGCGCAGTGCCGTCGACAGCGCCACCGCAGAGGTGTGACGTCAGAGCCGCGTGTTGGTCTATACCGGGAACAAAATATGCACCTAGATTTCAAACAACGAATTGGCAAGAATTAGTATACCGCTGTTTCTTTTCCCTCGTATACCAGTAGGCAGGGGTGGCATATCTGCATAAACTGATTTCAAACTTCACGCAGGCGCAAGCCATCATTTGATTGTGTTTCGGCGAGCGGCTACCGCGAAGACGACACCGTCGAGGACCTGGTGTAGTGATCATGTTTAGGGATGTCTTTCATTCAGAGATGGCACCACCTACATTGTGCCGATTGCACGTGTCACGTGTTGTACAAAACCACGGGCCGCGTGGCGGCAAGACATGTTTCGGTCACCAAAAATATGATAAATAAATCTGCTCGAGGCGCTCGTCTCAGATCTGCCCTCGTCACCTCGAGATCGGTTGCCTGTCTTCTCCTTCTCATCGGCAGGTTCTCGCCCGGAGCCGGCCGACACCTTCCATGTAAGCGCGCATCTAGTGAGGTCCAAGGCGTGCAAGACTTGTTTGACCCCACACGTATCTTTTGGAAAGATAGCACCGGGGAATTACAAAACCTGGTCAAAAACAAAACCTGTTTGGAGAAAGCTGCGTGGAAAGAACGTGCGTGCGAGGAGGAAGCCAGACCCTATAAAAAGTCGGTTCTCACTGTGAAGGCTACCATCACACTCCGTTGTCGTGTTCACACCTGTCGGGCTTCGCTTCAAGATGTCTTGCTCCCTCGCTTTGGTCCTTCTGCTCGGCGGCGTGGCAGTCTGCACCGCCCAGGGAGTTTCCGGGGGATTCGGCTTAAAGAGGGACCACCGCACCAACCCCAAGTATCTAAACCTGGCCCACTTCGCGACGTCCACTTGGTCTGCACAACAGGCCGGCAGAACCTACTTCGACACCGTAGAAGAAGTCGAGAGGGTCGAGACTCAGGTAATCTTTCTTCCAAAGGCCCACAAGGACGGAATGGACCTCTCGTGGTACGAAGACCCCGAGGCTTGAGCTGAGGGGAAGGAAGAGACGAGAACGCTCGGGGTCGTCAGAACACCGAGCTCTCGTTGGAATGATTAGAAGGCAGACGCAAAGCTAGCTGCCTTTGTGTATACTCACTGTTCGAATGTGTCTGAATGCGTTCAAACGCGTTCGAACGCCGAAACCCGGCATCCGGCATTCGAACGCGAGACACAGCGCGAGGAGCAGACAACGCTCTTGTTCGCTATGATTAGGGAGATACACTGGGTAAAGAAAAAAAGACAGCCAGCTTTTGCGTTTACCCACTAATCATTTCAATCAGAGCTCGACGCTTCGGCGTTCCCGTGCAAAAAAAAAGAGATGTCCGCTCCTTTTTTCTTACCCTATACTGAGATAAACTGAGAAAAGGGAGGCCAGAGCATGCGGTGAAGTCGGAGCATCCGAGCTCCGATTGGAAGGATAGCGGGTAGTCGCGATGGCTAGCTGCCCTTGTATGGATACCCACGATGTCCCGCTCCCATCAAAGTGAGAAGGAACGTCGTCTGCTGCTCCTCGCGGCGTTCGAAAGCAGAACGCCGTTCGGTGCAAACCGGCAAGGTTTTGTTGCCGGACGGTGAAGGTCAAGACTAAATAAGTCTGCGCAGTGCGACGCCCCAAGCTCTCATCGCGGGACTCAAAGCAATGGGGCCCCCTATTCTAGGGAGCTCAAGAATAAGGGGTCCTGGTGGTTCCGGTCCCTCAGGCGTTGGGGCCCCCTACTTTAAAACTCTTTAACAACTTAGTGAAACCTACAGTGTGCCGCTCTGAGGTTTTTGGCAGGTTTTTTTCCATAGTCCTTACTGTCAGCTTCAACTACATTTTGTTTTGTTCGTAGTCAAGACTATGTAGAAATTGACGACCTAAAGACTGTGTCCTTTTCAATGAGGGCTACAAACTGTACCGACAACAATGTTTACAATGTTGTTTTTGTAACCATATAATGACGACCAATTCTGAACACTGGCGTCGAAATCTATCATATATTGCATATATATATTTGCTCCCCGTCTTAGCTCGCAATACAATAGCACTAAGACAAGCTTGACGAATGTTTGCAGGTTGTCGCTGGAACCAACTATAGACTGACGCTCAGGGTCGTTGAGTCTGTCTGCGTACTCACGTCCCCGTACTCCAGGGAGGTCTGCGTAGCAAAAGAAGATGTGGTAAGCTTCTTTTTTTTTTTTGTAATTGTGATGAAGCGACAACCGAAGCGACAAACAGAAACAAGGGAATCCGCCAAGTGCAGGCTTCAAGTATATTGATGCTTGTGAAGTAAGGACAAATGATTGCAAGCATGCCAAAGATACCTTCGTATGCCTGGTGCACGTGCACAAGGCTTGTCGGTGTCGGCTGTTTCTGTTTGTACATTCAGCGGGAATAGGGCACAAGAGCAACCGCGCTCTGTGAACGTTCGATCTGATTCCGAACGTAGGTCTTATGAGGAAAGATGTCGGCTTTAATACCTCTTCAGAACGAACTTCATTGAAGAATCGGTAAATCGTCCCGTGACCTCAACTCTGCACGTACCTATCGGCGTGTGCTGGTTCACCGTTTGTTTGAGGCAGTTCGCTCTGAAGGCCTTTGAGATGCCAATGGCAGTGGCGTCAAAATTACGCATGCTGGGATGGTGATTCAGTTGCAAGGATTAAAAACATATCATTTCTTTAATTTGTCGTAATTTTTGTTATTGTAATCAATTAATTTTTCTTGGATATAACTGATAATGGAGTTGTAAGACTTGTTAGTGCCAGTTGCATTCCAAAAGACTTATAATTTAACCGTGATTTCTTGATACTGCAAATCGTTCCTATGCAAAAACTGACAGGAAAAGAGGCACGGGGATGAAGTCTTTCTCGTGCTGTTGTTGTCTTTTCTTGTTTTTTTTTCTCAAGCCATTGCAGATTGACTTGAATGTCCTAATCAGAAGTGTGATGCTCAATAAATGTTTGTATACTCAAGAGATGGAGAGATTGAAGTACAAAAGCATTTTTCTAACGCATGTGTGCATTTGGTCGTGATGTCGATAGCTTTGGTTACAATGCTTCGCGCCCTTGACGTATTTGCAGGCACGCAGGCGCTGCGTAGCCGTCGTTTACGAGGACTTGCAGGGAGAGTGGACCGTCAGCTCCTACGACTGCGTACCGTAATAAAAGCATAACCGCCATACCAGCCCCCCACTGTGCGTTACGTGATAACTGAATTTCCTTTGATTGTTTCTCGTCGCGTTTTGTCTCTGAGTGATCTATGACACTTCAGTGTTTTCAGGCTGCTTTACGTCCTTCTCCAAGCTAGTGGATACTTCTTTACGAATCCAGTCAACGAGTTGCCCATAAGGTGTCAAAATTGTTTCGCCAGCCTGAGAGCACAATCCTCAACCAAACTCTGGAACTAACTTTTTTCACTTTCAAATAATACTCATAGTTCGCCAGGACTGCAATAAAGAATCCCTTAGTCATCATTATGTCGGTGTTTCATGGCCTTACTACATTTAATCTGTCGTAAAAATGTTTTGTCTGAAATAATGCTTATTTTTGCCGTGATTTTAATAAAGAGACTCTCATCCACCATTAAGTGTGTGTTTCGTCTGCCTTAATTCGTTGATTCTCCCATTAAAACGAAGTAATGGTGTGAACTGCTAACGGTACCAGCTTGGGCGAGCTGGTTGCACATGAATCCACATACCACAGCGCACTATAGCAAACAACACAAGGAGCAGACAAACTTCCGCTCGGCATACCGGGAACCAAATATGCACCTAGATTTCAAACAATAAATTGGCATGTCTCATTATACCGCTGTTTCTGTTCCTTCGTATAGACCTTTGCAAAAAGAGCTCTCTGGCCGCCGCCATTTTGCGACTCGAAATATTTGGCAGAAATATTTGGCTGATAGGGGTCGCCCCCATCAGTCAAATATTTCTACCACCCGCCTGAGCTGTGGAAACCCGGTCAGCGCGACTCCCCACTTGCATTGTGCGTTCGGACTTCGCCGACTTTCCTTGAAAGTGTTTACTTTATTTGCCTGTTCAGGATGCCTTGCGTGTTTTGTGTTATCTTTCTCTGTGAGAACGGGCGAACACCAGGGCTCGTAACCTGCTCGACTTCCGCAGGAAACAAACGAAGAGAGCGAGCGAAGAGAGCGTACGTCAAGCAGCCCGCGACGTGAGCCGTTGGACGTTCTTCGGGGATTATTTCCGTTGAGATAATCTCCGAAAAGCCTTCCCGGCTATGTTGCCGATCTCGGCAAAAAGTAGCTGGTAGGGTCCGGGGTATGGGTACTGAACAGACACAATCGTTCATTTGCTTTAATTTTGTGTAAAAAAAAAAAAAAAAAAAAAAAAAAAAAACATTATTCTTTAAAACGCATTCTAAGACAAGACGGATTCCGTCCGATCGTCGACACTGTATATTAGATATTCTGTGTTATTTGAGACCTTTTCTCCAATCCTGTTCAGATAACGCGGAACCGTGGGGTACGCACAATATACGTTGTTCAATTGATGAGACTCGTTGAAAATCATGTTGTGAGCGGGGAATATCCATGCAGTTCGGATATCCTGTGATGTGGTCAAATATTGTAGGCAGTTGAGACCTTTGTAGATTGACACGGCTGAGTGTATTGTGCCGTTAAAAAGATCAGCATAAAATGAAAGAAACATTCCAGTTGCATTTGTTCTGTCGCCCACGGACTCGCTGAAAATAGCTTTCATTTCTTTGTTTTTGTTCCTAAAAATAGTGCAATGCTTTCTTGACTCCTTCGAGAAATTCTCTTCGCCATGGAGCGCAAAACAAAAAATAAAACGAGGCGATTTTGCCGCCGCCAGCGTTCGGAATTGCGCCTACGCGGGCTGCCACAGCCTATAACTGACGAGAAAACCCACAGCCCCGCGCAGTCGGGCAACACTGAAGTACCCTCTCAAAACCAGAGACGCTGGAAAGGTCTCTGGTCATGGGTGGCCATATCTACATAAACTAATGTCAAACCTTCACGCTGGCGCAAGCGATCATTTGACTGTGTTCCAGAGAGTGGCCGCCGCGAAGACGACACCGTCGCATGGAGCTGGTCATAAACAAAACCTGTTTGGAGAAAGCCGCGTGGAAAGAACGCGCGTGCGAGGAGGAAGTGAAACCCTATAAAAAGGCGGTTCTCATTGTGAAGGCTAACACCACACTCCGTTGGCGTGTTTACAACTGTCGGGCTTCGCTTCAAGATGACTTGCTCCCTCGCTTTGGTCCTTCTGCTCGGCGGCGTGGCGGTCTGCACCGCCCAGGGAATTCCCGGGGGATACAGCTTAAAGACGGACCACCACACCAACCCCAAGTATCTGGACCTGGCCCACTTCGCGACGTCCAGTTGGTCCGCCCAGCAGCCCGGCAAAACCCACTTCGACACCGTAGAAGAAGTGGAGAGGGTCGAGACTCAGGTGATCTTTCTTCCCAATGCCTACAAGGACGGAATGGACCTCTCGTGGGCCGAAAACCCCGAGGCTTGAGCTGAGGGGAAGGAGGAGACGAGAACGCTCGGGGTCGTCAAAACACCGAGCTCTCGTTGGAATGATTAGAAGGCAGACGCAAAGCTATAGCTGCCTTTCTGTATACTCACTGTCCGAATGCGTCTGAATGCGTTCGAACGCCGAATGCCGGCGTCCGGCATTTGAACGCCAGACACAGCGCGAGGAGCAGACTCTTGTTCGCTTTGATTAGGGAGATACACTGGGTAAAGATACAAAGCAGCCAGCCTTCGCGTTTACCCACTAATCATATCAATCAGAGCTCGACGCTACGGCGTTCCTGTGAAAAAAGAGAGTTGTCAGCTCTCTTTTTCTTACCCTATACCACGGTGTAAGATACACTTTTTAGGTGAGGACACGGCGGGGCTGAACGCGCGGCACGAGGAATTTCATTTCATTTCATTTATTTGTACCTCACAAGCGCCCCAAGGGGGCATACATGAGGGGGGAAATTCAACAGTATACAAGGAAAACGGAACAGTGAAAATATGAACACACATCATGCAAAAATAACAATATAATGAAAACACGTGGAAAACATACATTTCAATTTACGCAGTATTGAGCACACGCATTTTTAAATTCGTCGACATTTGCTAAAGTTACAATGTTGGCTGGAAGTTTGTTCCAGTCGGAAATTGCCAACTGTAGAGGTGACGTCTGGAAAAGTTTAGTATGTGATGTTTGTAGTAATACCTTATGCTGATGGTCAAATCGAGGAAAAATACGGTGTGGCGGCTTTAATAGTTTAAGCTTGAGGAGTGGGTTATTATAATAGATGTTATGGACGAAGGCTAGCCTAGAAAGTTTTCTTCTGATAGAGAGGAGTGGCAAGTCAGCTTTTTCTTTCAGTTGAGATACGCTGGAGTGTCGAGAGTAATCTTTGTAAATAAATCTGCTTGCCCTATTCTGAATTGACTCTATTTGTTGAATAAGGTAGTCTTGACAAGGATTCCATATGATAGAGGCATACTCTAATTGAGACCGAACATATGACTTGTAAGCGAGTAAACGAACGTCCGGAGGTGCCAGATATAAATTTCGTCTTAGAAAACCTAATGACCTACTAGCCTTGCTAGCCACATAATTTACATGGTCCTGCCAGTGTAGGTTCTCGCTCAAAATAACTCCTAGATATTTGTACTTATTTACTTTCTCAATTGATAAATGTCCTATTGAGTAGTTGAAACTTACAGTGGATTTTTTTGTGGAGAAGCTCATAAATTTAGATTTTGAGGTATTGATGTTCATTTGCCAGCGGTCGCACCATAAAGAGAGGGCGTCTAAGTCATGCTGTAGTGAGAGACAGTCGGTCTGGTTTTTTACAGTTCTATAAATAACGCAGTCGTCGGCAAAGAGTCTGACTGTAGAGGAAATGCTAGTGGCAATATCATTAATATAGATAAGGAATAACAAGGGGCCCAAAACCGATCCCTGAGGAACTCCAGACTTCACATTAATCAGATAGAGTTCGTTCGATGGGCATAGATCCGTTGCTCTCGGGCAGGAGGCGCGAGCGTGTCCGCAGGACGCGACCATGTTATGCTGGCAGCACCATTTAGGCGGCGCTGTAACGTTCGATTTTGCACGTGGCCACGTTCGAATGCAAGATCTGTCAGCATCTGTAGACGCGCAATAACAAAACGTCTAAAAAAAAAAAAAAACATTATGCAGCTTGTGGCCTCAGCGTCCCATTAAATATTCCTTCAAGCTTATTGCTCTCTTTCATAGCTTCCGTGAGCCTGTATGTTTCACTTTACTTGATAGCGAAGCCGAAGCTATACTTGCTAAAGCATGTCCCCTGAATGATGCTCGCACTGCACGAGCTCGCGTGCTTGGCAGGGCCACTAAGAGCTCGGAGCTCGCTCTTGTAGCCTCTGCTACGCTGGCACTTAGAATGGAACGGAGTATAAAAAACTGTAGTGGGGAAGGGTATTGACGCACGTTCGAAACGCGAGCCAAATATTCTATTTTGCTCGCCTGGAGCGCTGCTCAAAACTTGAGAGCTACGGGCCTATCCGAAAGGCTGCATCATTCCGCTGCCACCGTGCCCGCGGCTGACAGTGTCGCCGGCGGTCAAACGGCGAAACTGTGTGAGAGCGAGAAAAATGATCTCGTTGCCACGACACCCCAGTACACCGTGGTCTTTCTGCACGTGCGGCAACCTCGCTGGACCTCTGCGCGTGTGGTACATGAGGCGGAGCGAGCCGTCTTGTACGTGCCCACGGGTCGACGAGTCATCTGCCGGCGCCGCTTGAAACCATAGTGAGAGAGAGTGAAGAACGAACTTTCTCGGGCACGTCGCGAGGAGCGCGCTGTCCTCACTTGAAGAGTATTATCTTATACCGTGCCCTATGGGCCTCGTGCGTTGCCCAGGGGGTGCTGCGAAAAGGGACTTCTTAGGCATTGTTTTGGGTACAAACTTTAGCGTCTCAAACTTTCACGCATGCAGAAGCGTGCCTGTTCTGGTGCGGTGCGCGAGATCACAATAAAAATACAAAGAAACAACGAAATTCAAACGCCGTCAAAGCTAAGACGCTAAGAGCGCGAGCCAACAACTGCCGTTTCACGCGTTCCAAAGTAGACATGACAAAGAAAAATGAAAGCGTCGCGAGACAGCTGTTTTGACGTCACCACCCAGTGATAAGAGACGCGCACCCTAGCGGTGGTGCCATGAATTTGGTCCTTCCGATTGTCTTGCGGCGTTGAGTCTGGCCAATTTCTGGCGTCCAAAGGTGGTTTTTCGTTCTTCAGCGCCAGCCAGAATTAAAAAAAGCTCAACCAACGTCCCATAAGTAGTGCGAGGCTCAATCAGGTGAGCTTGTACTACCCAAAATGAGGGCGCTACAGTTTGTTCAAAGCTTCAGCGCAGGAGGCATATACTGAGATAAACTGAGAAAGGGGAGACCAGAGCGTAGCGGTGAAGTCGGAGCATCCGAACTCTGATTGGAAGGACAGCGGGTTGTCGCGAAGGCTAACTGCCCTTGTATGTATACCCACGTTGTCCCCCTCCCTTCAAGGCGAGCCGGAGCGTCGTCTGCCGCTCCTCGCGGCGTTCGAAGGCCGAACGCCGTTCGGCGCAAACCGGCAAGGTTTTGTTGCCGGACGGTGAAGGTCAAGACTAGATAGGTCTGCGCAGTGCGACGCCCATAGCTCATCGGGGGACCGAAAGCATTGGGGCCACTTATTCTAAGGAGTTCTAGAATAGGGGGCCCCGGTAGTTCCGGTCCCCCAAGCGTTGAGGGTCTCCTATTCTAAAACTCTCCAAGAACTTACTGAAACCTACAGGGTGCCGCTCTGAAGTTTTTGGCAGGTTCCTTTCATAGACCTTGCTCCCAGCTTCAACTACATTTTGTTTTGCTTGTAGTTTTAGTGTAGTTTCTAGTTTGCTAAAGACTGCGTCCTTTTCAACGAGGGCTACGAAACTGTACCTACAATATTGTTTACAATGTTGTTTTTCTAAACATAAAATGACGACTATAATTCTGATTACTGGCGTAGACACCCATCGTTTATTGCATATATTTTTTCCTCCCCGTTTTATGGTCGCAATACTGTAGCACTAAGACAACCCTGACAAATGTTTCCAGGTTGTTGCTGGAACCAACTACAGAATGACGCTCAAAGTTGTTGAGTCCGTATGCGAACTCACGTCCACGTACAGCAAGGAGGCCTGCACAGCCAAAGCAAATGCGGTAAGCTTTTTTTTGTAATTGTAATGAAGCGACAATTGAAGCGACAAACAGAAACAAGGAAATTGGACAAGTGCAGGCTTGAAGTATCTTGGTGCTCGTGAAGTAAGGACAAATGATTGCAAGCATGCAATAATACCTTCGCGTGCCTCTTGCACGTGCACGAGGCTTGTCGGTGTCGGTGGCTTCTGTTTGTAAATCTATACTTCGTCTCACCCTAGCATGGACTAACCGCGAAGACTGTGCTAGCGCGAGCGGCCAACCTTGACCGCCTCGACTAAAGCACCTGCTGCATGAGCGCTCGTGCAGCCGCCGCCGCGGCTTCATTCAAAGCGACTAGCTCGCGCTTTTAGCACGCGCGGCTAACAATAGTTCATACTAAGGTGAGACGAAGTATAGTGGGAATCGTGCTCAACAGCAACCGCGCTCTGTGAACGTGCGATCTGGTTTCGAACGTAAGTTTTATGAGGAAAGATGTCGACTTTAATACCTCTGTATTACGGGCTCTCCTCAGAACAAACTTCATTAAAGAATCGGCGAAACGTCCCGTGATCTCAACTGTGCATGCGCCTATTGGAGTGTGCCGATTCACCGTTTGTTTGAGGGAGTTCGCTCCGGAGGCCTTCCAGATGTCTATGGCAGTGTCGTCGGAGTTAAGCATGCTGGGAGGGTGATTTAGTTGCAATGATTGAATAATATAATTTCGTTAATTTGTCGTAATTTGTAATTGCAATCAATTCATTTTCCTCGAATATAACTGATATTGGACTTGGAACACTTCTTAGTTCCACTTATTAAAAAAAATCTTGCATTCTAAATAGACCTATAATTTAACCGTGATTTCTTGAAACTGCAAATCATTCCTATGCAATAACTGGCCGGAAAAGAGGCACGGGATAGGGTCTTTCTCGTGCTGTTCTTTTTTCTCCAGCCATTGCAGATTGACTTGAATGTCCTCGCACAAAAGTGTGATGCTCAGTGAATGTTCTGACACTATGCATTTTGGGCGTTTGTATACTCAAGAGCTGGAGAGTTTGAAGTACACAAGCATTTTTTCTAACGCATGTATGCCTTTGGCCTTGATATTGATTGCTTTGGTTACAATGCGTCTTCGCGCCCTTGACGTCTTTTCAGGCACACAGGAACTGCATAACCGTCATTTACGAGAACTTGCAGGGAGAGAAGTCCGTCAGCTCCTTTGACTGCGCAGTGCATTAAAAGCCTAGCCGCTGTACCAGCCCTCCACCGTGCGTTACGTGACAACTGCATTTCCTTCGATTGTTTCTGATCGCATTTTGTCTCTTAGCAATGTATGACACTTCAGTGTTTTCAGGCTGCCTTGCGTCTCTCTCCAAGTTAGAATATTTTCGCCAGCCTGGGAACACAATCATCAACTAAGCTCTGGAGAGGTAGAGCAATGAACAAATTTTTTTTTCTTCGAAATAATTCTTAGTTTGTCAGGACTGTAATAAAAAGACTCTTAATCATTATCATATTGGTGTTTCATGTGTCTTACTATATTGAATTAGTCGTAAAAATGGTTTGCCTCAATTTATGTTTATTGTGGCCATGATACAAATAAAAAAAAACTATCCGCTATTAAATGTGTGTTCCGTCTGCCTTACTTCGTCGATCCTCGACAAAGTCATGCTGTGAAACGTGTTTTGCTGATGACCACTCATCTTTCGGAACATTTAACAAAAATTTGCCAGTCGAGCGTCGGTATTTGCATCTTCACGACATGCACGTTGACAAGTAAGCCGATGGATGGCATGTACATTGTGCTTGAGACCAATCGAAACTGGTGCCTGGCGTTCCAAGATAAGCCGACTCAGTTTTTATCACTAGGGTTGTGTGCATTCGTGTTAATTTTCCCACAGATTCGGTGTTTTTCGGTGTTTATTTTTGGTGTTGTAAAAAAATGGGCGTTTATCGAGGATTATGTTGAAGAAACAGGACACGGGGGTGGGATACGTACTTTACAAAAACGAAACTGCCTATATAACATACCACACCGCGTACGATATATAGAGTTATTTTTAATTATCTTAATATTAAACAGATTCCACATCACTAAGATTTTTCTTTTTTTTCATACAAAATATTTAAGTCGTAATAAATGTTATTTATATTAATTTCCAACCTTAAGAATATATATGTGGCCTACGACACACACTGTCTAGACACTTTATTAGGGCCGCACTTCAGAACAAGCAATGGCAATCAGATGTGTGGTGAACAGTACCAATTTTTTTAACACTGACTAGATTGCATTTGAATATTACGAGAAAAATGTGCGCTTAATGTTTGTTAATGTGTCCTATGTCTGTTCTGGATATCGAAAACCTAGATTGATCGAATAATTCTTTGATTGCCGACTAATAATTTAACTGCTTATTCGGTCAGAGGATGCCGAACGGAACCAAATTGCTTTGCTTATTCAGCTGGTAGAATAAAAGTCAGTAGAAATTAATGAAATGCCAATATGCATACAGTATTTATTGCAATTCTGGGGAGCAAACGGTCGAATGGCGCATTTTGCATAATATACATTGCGTCTACAAAGCTAGTTTTATCCCTCCAACTTTTTTGTTACTTAAATACTCAATTAATCAATAAAGCATTCAATCATTTTACTTTACACATAAAACATAAAAGCACCGCTTAACGCATCTCGAATCATAGCCTATTTGGTTAAATTTTGAATACGCTTCGGACTTAAAGGGGCCATGAAACGAATTTTCGGTTGGGATGAATGATTTTAAATTGGGACTTTATTAATCGCATATCGTTTAGTTGGTCAAAAGAAAGAGGCTAGAAAGTCAAAAGCCAGCTTTTCGGTACGAACATTTTAAAATATAGCGGACTATTTTGTACCTTCTTGCCCTCGAAAGCTCTTTGCCTTTTCACTATGACACATCCGCGGTTCCAAAAGCGCGTCACCGGCGCCAAACTGACGTCAGCAGAGCTCAGCTCACGCATTGGACACGAGAACTGCGTCACTCGGACGTATGCGCTCGTCAACAATTAATCCGTCGACGAATATTTGGATTCGCGTTCGTGGCCAATGAGTGCCCTGACGGAACTTATTGTCACTGGGGAATGACAAGTTCTATGGTGTGCATAAAAAGCACGATGGAAGCTAGGAGCCATCGCACCGGTGCCGAAGGAATGTCACGACCACGTGATTTCACATTTCGCATTTGAGTTGAGGATTAAAGCTAAGGAGGAAGAAGTAGAAAAATCGTTTCATGACCCCTTTAAGTATGCTGCGACTGAGCAACGTTTTATTCAAGTTGGCCTATTTGATATTTTATGAAGAACCCTGAAAATATTTGAAAATTCTTTAATCCCAAGAAATTTTGTAAACATGTGTATAACCATGAATCCCAAACAGTAGTCCTATAACCACCCTAACAATATTTGGAAACTCATAAAACCCAAAGATCCTAAAAATGTTTGGGATCATAAACCCCAAACTATAGTTATATTAAAAAAACTTGAAAATGTTTGTGGTCATAAATCCCAACCAATAGTATAATTAACACACTGAAAATATTTACAAATTTATCAATCCCAAAAACCCCTGGAATTGTCGGAATCATAAATCCTCAAAAATATTCTTATAGACAAGCCTGTAGGTGTCGGCGATCTTATAAATCTTGAAAACCATGAAGAAGTTTCGGTTTATAAATTCCAAACAATCGTCGCATAAGTAACCCTGATAACGTTTGGAAATTTATAAATCCCTCTTTCTACGTCGATAATGGAGATTTTAATTTATTAAAATGTATAATATACGCCAATGAATCTAATTCACATTTTGTGTCTTGATGTTTTGAAATCAAATGAAACTTTATAACTTCCAGTGCAAAAGACAGATTCAAAAACTATTTTAAGACCTTTTTTTAAGGTTGCTTTCATTTGTACAACATATTAAACTATTACTGAACACGCGGGTACTTCCAGTTGACTGTAAAGTAGCGAACATACTTCCCATTTGCATAAACAGGGGCCGAAACCTTGTCACTGACTATCGCCAAGTATCCATCGGTAGTTTCCATCTTATATACTTTTCCAGCATATTATGTATTGAAACGTAATAAACCTCTTACAAAGTGTTGTAATGTCCAAACCAACACATCGCAATATATTTTTTAACGACTTGAATATTTTGCTTAGAATATTTATTTTAACTTGATACAAAAATGTTCAAATTGATGTCATATTTCTTGACTTCACGAAAGCTTTGGAAAGGTCCCTCATCAGCGCCACACTACAAAGCTATCGCACCTTGGAATGCATCTGAAGTAGCAGCCAGTCTTGGGTACTAACGCGTTACTTGTAACACGTTACTGTAACTTCGTTCCTTTTTTTGGTAACTTGTAACTGCCACGGATTACTTTTTAAAAATTTAACCTGTAACTGTAGTTCTATTGCTTTTTCTCAGGTAACGATGAAAGCAACGACGTTACTTTTGTCGTTACTTTCCAGTTTTTTATGAATATTATATAATTGAACGAGTACAATCTAGCTATTCGTTGCACTTTCCAAATTATCTGCTCCGCGGTTTCGAGTGTCAAGTTGACCTTGCACGGAACTTGTAAATACGTTCTTTCTCGCGAGTCACGACCCGAATATAGCCAGATGTAGATGTGATGAAAAAAAATCTAGTTATCTTTACGCACGCAATTCCACTTTGTGACTGAACATTTACATCTCAGTATCTTGAAACACTATCTATGTTAAGGTTGTTCTTTTTTCTGTGCAAACGCTTTTTAATCGGGGGGATCAACCGTAAACAACAATACACACGGAGGCCACTGCGAATGTTTCGTATTTTGATTTGCGCCACTACTCCGCACTGCACATGTTTTGTATTTTGACTTGCGCCACTACTCTGGCGTGGTGTCAACAGTCGAGGCAAAATTTACTGCTGTTAGTTCGGGGTTTGCTTGTTGCTCTGGTTGTGCGGTGTCTGTTCAGAAAGGGCAGAAACGTGTTTGCCAAAAAACGAGGGAAACTTTCAGACACTAATTTCGAGGAGCAACTGTTGCTAACTTACAATATGAAGTAAAAGGCATACTTTTTTACTTTTATGCTATAAAACTTGGTGAGGAGCGTTTTCTATTTTTTTTCCTAAATTTTTCGTGTTATAGAAAAGTAACTGAAAAGTAACGTCTTTACTTTTTAAATGTAACTGTAACTGTAACGAGTTACTCTTTTGTTGTGGTAACTTTAACGGTAACTTCGATACTTTTTCTGCAAGTAACTGTAACCGTTACGAATTACTTTTTAAAAGTAACTTACCCAAGACTGGTCGCAGCCTTGGATGAGCGCCCCTGGCAGCTGGCAAGCTGCTATGTGCGCTTGTTTTGTGTCAAAATTGCTTAAGCACTTAATCCGTTCATAACAAATTAAACCTCTCTCCTCGACAACCAAATCTTGTAGGAACTACTTCGTGAAGCGCATGAACGATGCGCAAAACTTTCTCTTTCCTTGATGTGACAAGTTTTCTTACTCTTTAGCATTGGTTTTTTTAATCACAAATAATAATTGTATTACAAATGAACAAAGTGAGTGTGAAGTCAGACCTGCCTAAACCACGTTGGGCTTGACTGGCAGCGTCTTACAATCAGTAGAACCAGCCGTACGCAAAAGAAAACATGTAAAACAAAATCCACAATAAGAAACTAGAATTTAAAAAAAAAGCAAACTAGTGAGCAATTTACAAACTAAAATCTCTCAGGGCTTTCTCGAGCTTATCGTTTGTTCTTAAATTAGAAATGCTAGAGGGTAGTTTGTTCACCAATTTTGATACATAATAACCGCGCGCCTTTTTTTCAAATCTTGTCCAACATCCAGGTATCCGGTAACGCTCTTTGGGTCTAAGAACATGAGAAGGTACATATAGAGCTTTAAATTGCGTAGCTACCCCAAAAATGTCTATGAACGACAGTTTCCATCAATAGTGAGTTAAAATCAGGCAAATACAATGCTTTAAATGTGTGAATGTCATTTCCAAGGCATAAATCATAGGAAATGTTCTTTAGCAAAGAACGCAGACTCAAATTAATTCGAAATTGCCAACGGAGAGCACAATGACCGGTAATGCCGTAAAGGAGCACATTGTAAACTAGAGCGTGCACAATTTTTCGAACGGATATTGGCATAAATTATCTACTGTTGTATAACAAACAAGACACTGCACGAATTTTCTTACATACATGAGCAAGATGAGAGCTCCAGGTTAGGCCACTGTCAAAGAATAAGCCGAGATATATTTTTATAGAAGATGTATGCTGTATATAGGCTCACATGCACATGATAGACATACAGACGTATGTAACCGTCTAAAAAAGGTCATAACAACTTTTTCCAAGAATTGTGGAAACATAAAAACTGCGTTTTGGATGCATTCACTTAAATTAAATTAGCTTCAAACCCGTTCATAGATTTAATTGCCGCAGTTTGTAAAGACGAAAAGGCATCT